TACTAAATCCTCATAAAAGCATGTAACAATTACGAGGATTCTTTTAAAAACTCCGTAAATGGTGGTAATCACGAGGCAAAATAAAGATGCCCCGTAAATACTATGTCGTAAAAGCCCACATTTCTTGTAGTGAATACAGTGAACATGATCTTTGAGATATGACCTAGAGGGGCAAATAGGTCGGTTCCCAATTTTTGGCTTATACTGACTTTAAGATAAATTCACTCAATCTTTTTTATTAATTCAAGTACGAATGATGAATTTATTTATTTGTTTGTTGTACTCAATTACCAGTTAAGTCCTTGACCCTTAAATAAATAAATCAGAAATACATAAATAAATTATTTATTTAAACAAATAAACAAATCCATTTTATTAAATAAATAAATAAACAATCAATATGCCCCTAATTTATTTTTACCAACTTATAAGTGATATACTATATCTAGGTAATTGCCTTAAACACTTAAGCACATATGTGAATTAATTTTGACATGATATTCATATAGGCATGTATCAATCACATAGCAATATATAAGATATTCATATATGCATGTAACAATCACATAGCAATATATAATAAATTAATAAGTGTAGTAAAGTAAAAAGTGTTGGATTTATATGCTCGGAATAAAAAAATTCTTACTTGGATTGTATAGACGTTATTCCATATCTGAAATGACATTTATGTATTATACAATTAGTGAATGCAAATGTATTATATTTCAGTTCATTATAGAATTGAATGTGTCCACTTGATTGCAAGAGATATTTATATTTGTGTGACGGTGATCAATACTAGAATGTACATAGCAACCATAAATAGTTCGTAGCCAGTAATTAAGGACGAAATCTTAATTAACTAAGATTTGAACCGGATCTACGATAGGTCGAGATACATTGCGAGAGTCGTCATATGCAAATGCTCCTTATCATCATCATGACATTTGACTCTCAAGCATGAGAAAAGGATAGACTCTTTTCTTAATTAGTAATTACTTTGATTTGTTCAGTGGAACCTTCAAGATCCAATGACCGGTATCTTGGGTAATTAAGTAATTAATAGTTACAGGGTTATATTTTCAATACTTGCATCATTGCTACGTATTTGTATTTATTTTATATTGATTATGGTTGATCTAAAAGTAAATTCGAAGGCCTTCGTGTATTTTAGATAAAATAATTTTTATGTATTTATTTACTAAATTATTATTTTTGTCAAATAAATATTTGATTGTGATCAAGTCAGGAAATATTCAAGGAGTTAAAATAAATACGTTAATTGTGCGGTCTGATTGATGACTTCAATTATCTGATAACTAATTATGCATAGAAGGGTCAAAGTGTAACATTGACTTAGCGGTTATTTACCATTTGATTGGAGGTTAATTAATTTCTTTTAGTGGAGTAGAAATTGATTAATGAATTAATTGAATTAGATCCATGGTAGTTGGATTGGGTCAATTATTAATTCAATGAAACCAAGAAAATAGTAAGCCCAAAGGATTCTCGCTTATAGTCCAACTTGATATTCGAGGCCCATTAGATTGGAGATAGCACTTAAATTGTAGAGATTAAGAATTACTTTTGACACACTATGTGACTATATATACATGTGACCATGTATTGATTAGTAAGATTTGGGCATCATTAGTGTGTGAGATAAAACTTTCTCTCTCTAGAATGTTAAGGTTTTGTGTCCTCATCTAAAGGAGGCTCCCACAAGCTATGCATCCAAGGTCTTTCATGGAAGCATATAGGTGATTCCTCCTACTGGCAAAACTACCATAGGATTTCTATTGATTATAAGCATGCTTAGTAATTGGTAAATCAACTATGAGAAGAAAAATGTTGGGCTTTGTGTTGTAGAGGTGTGATTGTGTAATGTAATTATGTGAGTACTTGATAGCATGCCCAATCCATGATGATAGCTAAGAAGTTGATATTTGAGTATACATGAGAGCATTCATATCTTAAGCATTAGGTAGCACATGCATTGGCATTGGATAATAGTTAGACGTTAATATGAGGAGGAAATTGCAAGTTGGGAATAAAGTTTGCGAGAACAGAAGACAAGCGGTAGTCTTGTTTTCAAGATTGCAGTAGCTAGGCCCAAAATGGTAGTGAACGGTGGTTTTACGCTAGGGATAGCTAACTGGAGGTCCAAATGGTTGATAAGCTGTAGACTTGTGCCATTTGGAGATGGTGGTCTTAGTATGGTTTGTGATATTGAGATTGGATTGGTTGAGAAATTACAATTGTGGTTAGGACAAGGTCATGGAATTGGTAGGGAAGAAGGTCATTGCATTTGTTATAATTCATGAGCATTGATTGCATTAATGGTATTGTTATGGACTTGTGTGTATTAATGTGGTTATGCTGATATATTATTCTTAATGCTATGTATTGATGATATCGTTATTTCCCCGTACAAGTATGATCCCTCATCTTGACCTCCTCTTCATTATGTGTATATTCACGTGGCTTTAGGAGCCATGCCTTAGGTATACTGTACTGAGCGGTGGTGTTCACTCATTTATCTTAAACATTTTTAGGGTTTAGAAGTGACGGAGTGGATGATACGCCTCCACATGCTTAAGCATAGTTAGGATATTTAATTTCATCATCTTTTGTAATCAGAACTGTTCGTAAAGTTTTGGGCATAAAATTTGTGACACTTTGTAACTATTGCAATGGCAATGTAAACTTATTATTTTGGAGTATGTAATTGGTAATAACAATATTACATTCCTACATTTACCAACGATGTATATTGCTTTGGAGAAATTGAAGTAAAACGATATGCTAAAATTTTATAAATTGATGTATGACGATGTATGTTTTTTATTTGTGGTATTCCGTGAGTTGGAACATGTTATCAAAGGTCAAAATGACCAAGTTTAGGCTCGGGAACAGGAACCGAGGCATAATGGGCAAAAAACCCAATTTTCTAGGCTTTCCCGAGCGCTCGCGTTGCAATGGTCCCCAAAACAGAATCAAGTTTCCTTAACTGAGCGCTTGGGGCTTGTTAGGACCTCGCGTGCATGTTTGTCTTGCACGCGCGCAATTGTGCGCATGGCATCGCGTGAGAGCTCGCATGGCACCCACCGAGCGCTCGTAACTCCCCTGATGTGTTTCTCTTGGAGACTTCCAACCGTGATCCGACGCTTCAAATGTATTCAACCATTGATGGTCGTAGTTAATTTAAAAACCTTCATTAGACTCATTGATCGGTATAAGGGTATTGAACGACTATTTTACCCTTGAAGGCCCCAAGGTTTCGAATTGAACCCGAAGTCAGAAATTAACAGTCTTAATCGAACTAATGTGATGTAAATTAATTAATAGGATTTCATCATGACCATTATCATGTAATATCATGTGTATTGACGATTAAGCCTTTGTGTGACCTAGGTTAGAGTAAGGACCCGGTTAGCAATCGGACCCTTAGGTTCGGGTTGTTCCAATGGACATGTTGATCTTTGTCAGGAACAATGTAATTCGGATAAATCACGTAATGCGGTGATGGCTCGCTCCAGAGTGGGTGGGACAACAATGTTGGATGTCGGAGATGGAAAAAGGGAATGTTTTATTGATGAAGTGGATCCCAAAAATTTGGCTATTGTCCTGTTGAAAGAAAAAGGGTTAGATACGGAATTGTTCAGGGAGGTAATGTTAACCCTAATCACGACATCGAGCTCGTCCAAGGTTCCTCTTCCCAGATTCATGTGGCATCAGTGCAACTTGAGGAACCTCTGCAATGTGAGCCTATGAATTTTCCGATTCAAGGTCGGATGTTACCTTTGGAGAGATGGGATCAATTGACCAAAGCTCGAGATAAAGGGACAGAGATTGCCGACACATCCAAGTGGAGGCAAGTAGAAATTTCAGCGCTATTTACGAGTCGGAGATCTTTACCACGAAAGGGGCGTAAGCGAAGGCCGGCTAATTCTTGTGGCTCTGAGGAAGTTCATGATCAAGGTGGAAAAAAGCGCAAAGATGTGGTGGGCTCACCGGATGTGTGTATACAAACAGGGCAGTTCATGAATGTTGAGGAGGTCTGTAATCCATCCCGACCTTCCAGTAAATCTGGTGCTCATAATAGTGAATCTTGGACCTCTGAATCGTCTCCAGCCCACTCCTTTGCCACCCAGCTAGCGATTCTTGTCAGTGCTAGGTAGCCGAGACCATCTGAAGTCACTTGATGCATGTGCGTTTTGTAGCATTTTTGGTGAAGGCTTTGGCTTTCTTTTTTTGCTTTTGCTGGTTAGGTTTTATGTATGGGTGACGGTTTAGGGTCATAGGGTCGGTGGTGCTATGGTGTTAGCTTGTTTTATTCCTTACGTCGGTTTTGTGTTGACATCTGGATTAAATTTCAGGGCTTTTTTATTTATTTATTTACTAGGGGCTTGATTCGCATTAAATTTCATCAAAAGAGATGCAAAGATTATAAAAGGATAAGTCATACAATATAGATACAGAAATTATAGATGTTCTCATTAATGCAATATAAGTAACCCATTTATTACAGCTAGCAACAATACTTACTAACCCATTTATTACAGCTAGCAACTATCACAAATATGCGAGTACATAAGTACTGACCCAGTTGTTACGTCTACCGACAATGTCATGTGGTCTAATTAAAGACATTAATTATTGATGCTGGTCACCACCTTTGACCCATACGAGGCGGATCATTTGCAGGAACCAATTTATGCTAATACATAAAGTTTTTTTAAACATATTTAAATTCCATTTCAACATAAATTTAAGTGAACTAAAAGTTTACAACACATTATGAATATTAGTTTCATAGATAAAATTTGAATAGTGTATTTGGGTTGATTATGCCCGCCTGCCTCACCAAATGTGTTAAAAAAAAAAAAAAAGGGGGGAACAATGTTGGGAGGACGAAAAGACAGAATGAGGGGAACAAATTAAAAGTAGCATATGTAGTTTGGGGGCAAATTAAAAGAAGATGAAGGAGAGTGAAAATATTAAGGACCGATAGCGTAGATGGTCTGCAAAAGGGTGAGAACAAAAAGGACAAGCGCACCAATCACTGATAACACTATCCATAGATTACCGGCACAATTCCGGGTCACTGTACCCAATTGTTCCCGCCAAGAGGTGCAGCAACGCTTCATCTTCCTCCACTCCTTACGGTAATGAAAATGTTGTGGAATAGCATTCTTGCAAATGCCATTGAAGATTTGCACCACCGATTCACTCGAACCCAAATGGTTACATATGATTCCTTCTTTCTCAAGCAATTTAACGTCCTCCACCGAGTCTATGAGGATATCCATAAGGAAAGCGTGCGACGTGAAGAAACTTTCAAACCAAGGGCAACATTGCTCGAAAGCGATGAGGTTCCTCAAGAATGACTCTGTGAAATTATAGACGGAGAAACTTGGGATTTCTAGACAACCTCTCCAAAAATAAAAACAACTATCCTGAGGTCTAAACTCCACATCAAAGAGGTTTGTTTTTGTTCGTTTCCGCAGCTTGATTCCAGCAATGTCGAGCTGTGTTGCTGTACCTTCGTATCCGGGTTGCGCCAATTTGTTGTCCCATTGCTCTTGGTGAGATCCATCATCTTCACGAGGCTGCTTTTTGTAGCAAGTGAGTGAGAAACCGAACTGACAAAAAGTTGCTCTTAGGACTCTTTGGATGGCAGGTTGCGTTGCTAAACCTTCACGTCTTGTGGCTTGCCATTCGTGGTCAGATGAAGTACTGGGCGGATGATCTAGACGAGAGGATGCATCCACAGCAGGATGCTGCTCAGGCTGGTAGCAAATGTGGAAGAGATGGAGTATATGCAAAGGAGGGGGAGTGTTCTTGTTTTTGGTTATGTTTCCATCTTCTAAGCCCATGATATCACCAAAGAACGAAAGGAGGCATTCGATAAGCGTAGGAGAGGGATTACCTTGCACCATCAAGCTGAACAGTTTTTCAAGAACACTAAACGGAATCTGGTTCTCGAGTAGGAGCAAGTCACGCCGGATTGCATTGTACCGGAAAGGATCCTGCAAGATGGGGTCTTTTTCCCTCTTGTAATGCCTGTACAGAAGTTCGATAATGAAGCAACCATCGATCAGCATCATTTCCGCAAGGTTGATGATCACGTTCTCGTCCAGCTTCGCCAAGTGGTCCGCATAGCATTTCGTGAAAGTACTTTTCATCTTTAACGTAGCTTCCGCGCAATCTTCTCTCTTTTTCTGCTCGGAATCTTTTCCCGCTCGTCGGAACAGGAAAAGCATGTAGCTTAGTTTGTCTGCCTTCATTGCTTGTAGATTTTCGTCTTCGCAGTGAAGAGGCCCAATGGATACAACACTAGGGGTGTAAGCTTTCTCATTTTCTTCACGAAGCATATTGGGGACTCTTTTTATGATCGGGATCATTGGCCACGCGTGCTCGAAATTACCCAGGGCCTCGAAATTTTCTTTGTTCTCTTTGATCTTCTTCTCTAGAGAATTCATGAGCTTGAAAAATGTCATCTGGGTGAAACTAGAACTCTCTCCCCTCTCCAACGGCATGTCTAGCTTTTGTGTTTCTGTAATAGATGTCAGGACTTCTGGTTTTGAGCAAGCCAAGACTCCATGATCTTAGTAGAGTCTTGGTATTTATGATATTTGAAAATTTTATTTTTATTTTTAATTATTATTATTATTATTTTTATGGCATTGAAAAAATTAACTTCAATCGGACTTCTGAGACTTTTCACACTCTCATTTGAAAAATTAACCAGATCTGAAAATTATAATTCTACAACTTGCTCTTCTCTTTGTCTTCTTCTGGTTGACTTTAAGGGAAGACTTGGCACGATGACCGGTGATAAATAATTTAAACAATCACCATTTAATAATATAATTTGTTAGGATAATAATGTCACTCTAATATTTCTCCCTAAATTTTCAAAATTTGATATGTTTTATTTTTTTATTTTAACACCAAATAGACCAACTAACATACAAACGAAGGAATTATATAATCTCATATGGGAGCATTTAACAACTATAAAGGCCATATACTTCACTCTAAATCGCAGATAATTAGGCTTTAAAAGCATGTTTACTCAATAAATGAGCAAACATATTACCTCCACGAGAAATCCATGCAAAGGAAGAACCCTCACAATCCTTAAGCAGGGAGATGATGTCACTTAAAACTACAAAAAGAGCATCCATCGAAGCTTCCAACCTCATAACACGCCGGTAATCGCCTTCGACAACCACCCTATGATAATCCTAACTCTTAACTAGCACCAAAGCCTCACTTAACACCAGGCCCTCTGCCATGGAGGGACTACAAGCATTATCAATGAAAATTGATGCCACCTTGACCGGATAACCGTGGTGATCTCTAAGAATTATGCCCCCTCCACATGAGCGACGGGCAAGACAAAAAGAGGCATCAAAATTAAGCTAAAAGCAATGAATATCCGGCACTGACCAGCGCCCAACAAATGGAGAGACCGCCTTAATCAACGGAATAGCTATCCTACCAAAAAAACGAGTCTGTTCCTGAAATTCCTGATATCCATGGAAAGCAAACAAACTAGCATCTTTAGGATCCCATCGCTTATTTTTAAACACCAAATCATTACGACACTTTTATATGGACCAGTAAACAAAGGCTGCCAAACCTATACTAATAGTCGAGGCTGAAGAGGCTGACCACACCTCACAAAGAGAGGCCTATCTCTGCAGCCAAAAAGATGGCTGCACCCCAAAGAAGTCAAGATGCAATGGGCAAATCTTCCAAACCAAACAAGCAAACAAGCAAGTACAAAGAAGATGATCTACAGTCTCAACGGCATCCTCGCACACCGAACACATCAAAACCTCAACAACCCCCTGCCGCCAAAGAGACTCGTTCACCGGAATTCTGTTATGAAAAGACTGCCATAAAAAAGCTGAACATTTCTGTAGGCACGGATTAGCCAAACCTGTCTCCACATGGGACCTCTACTAGCATCAAAGCTACACCCTTTCAAGGGAGGAGAGCAGTCGTCTTTGCTTAGAATAGATTCAGCAACATAATATGCACTCTTGACGAAAATTGCCCAATTTTTTAGGCACCCCATATTTTACAATCAACACCACCTGAAATACTCAGAGGAATTTGCAAAATCAGCTCACGATCACATTGATTAAAGAAACTGCCAATCATATCATAGTTCCATTTGTGTGCATATTAGGAAGAATTAGATCAGCCAATAAAGAGAAGGAGGCCCTCTGAGGATTTGAAATAATAGATAAATTGAGAGGGGAACGAATTATCCTTCCAACAATTGATGCATGAACCATCCCCAATATGTCAACGCTTCCCATGCTTAATCACAGCCTTTGAAGACAGAATACTCTTCTAAATCCATGATCTACTCGGACGATTAGTCATTTCCACAAAGTTACAGTGCTTGAAGTATTTTTGCTTGAAAGACCTGCAAAGAAGTGAACCAACCAAGCAATCTTAGCAAGGAGAACTAAGATGAAAGCCTCAATATTATTAAAACCGATACCCCTACCTTTAGACTTAAACAAATTTTCCCAACTTATCCATTTGATTTTCTAGGACTTCTCCAACCCACTCCACCAAAAATTCGAGAAAGTGCTGGACAATTTTTCACAATTCTTTTTGGACAGCCTAAAGCATTGCATGGAGTATGTGGGAAGAGCCGAGAGGACCGATTTCACCATAATTTCGCTCCCTGCCTTGGACAAAAGAGAGCCTTTAATAGAATTGGCAATTTTCTTGGAGACTCGATCTTGAATAAAGTTCAAAGCTCCCACTTTAGATTGACCCAAAAGGGAAGGAAGCCCCAAATATTGATTATTCCAATCCACATACTGAATATAATCTTATGATGTGCCATATAATCTTAGCATATCTATATATAAAAAAAAATCACCTGTTAAATTTATTAATGTTAGTTTTATCCGAGGATTATAAAACTGCTAACTTGTTACAATTATATTGATTCGTGGGATACATATATTAAAATAAAGAAAGAATTCATTTAGTATATTAAAAAGTTATATGTCAAATTTGACTTATATGATTTTATGGATCAGAATCCTCTCTAGTCCAACAGTGTCTAGTTTCCTCCATTTTAGTAAATGAACAGTATTAATTAAGGAGGGTAAAAATATGTATTAGTTTTATATATAATTTTCGTATATTTGTTAAGAAATACGTATTCTCCTTCCCTCTCTTATGAATTTTCAACAACCCATTTGAAATTACAAATCCCACCCATCTTTCTTCTCTCCCAAAATATTCATTCAGCTATTTGTTCTCTCTCAATATTCTCCCCAAATAGAAGCAGCATTTATTATCTCCGAAAATTTTCATGCTTCGATTTGTTTCGAAATAGAAGTGGTTTTCTTCTCTCCCAAAATATTTAGATTTTGATTTGTTTCCATATAGAAACAAGGCTTTATTTCTTCGTATAGTAGGTTATTTTTGTCCAAATTTAAAGTGTAACACTAGAGTAGAGAGGAGAGGCACAAGAGGTACGATTTCTAATTTTCATAAGAAATGAATGGTAGAAGAACAAAAATGTGATACCCCCGGATTTCCGAATGCGGGTTGGCCAAGCCCACGCCCGAACACCCGAGGATATCAAAAACGAATCGGCAATAAACGAACACAGAGTACAAAAGAATAAAGAAGAATAAATAAAATGCTGACAAGAAACTAAAATGATAATCTAATAATAAACCTCATAATATATTTCCATTAATTAATAAATTCTTCTGATACAACTGATCCTCCAAGATACAACTCGAGAATCCATACTGTGTGGACCCCTAGAAAATCCAAACTAAACAAATGACAGTAATCTAAAACAGGAAACTGAATCATAAAGGAACTCCTATGTAGCATCGGAAGAATGAAGTAGACTGATCCCCGCTCAGCACAAACAACCTCTACTCATGACGAACACCTGAAAAATAATGGTGGGTCAGGCCCACAAACAAGTTTTACTCTTCTACAGTCCAAGCAGAGATCCGATACACGTATACATCCTAGCCAATCCAACAGTAACTAGTAGTCCGTATATATATATATACACACTAAAGGAACCTCACTAGACTATAGGGTTGTCTCAACCTGAATAGTAGGTAACATGCAAAACGCACATATAGTGGGCATGAGTACCTAGACCTACCAGGGTACACAACTACACTATATCTAGCTACACATCCCTGGCGATATACGCGCTCTAACCATTGATCCTGAGACTCAAGCTCATATCATGGCACTATACTTATATATATAAAATCTAGTAACCATCCTATCCAATATAAATTAATCCTCCATAAGTCATTCAACTTGTTCAGCTGACCTGACTTGAATATAAGTAGGACTTAACATTTTAGTTAATCCATTCCCTTATATAATAAATTAATCCTCCATAAGTTATTCAACTTGTTCAGCTGACCTGACTTAAATATAAGTAGGACTTAACATTTTAGTTAATCCATTCTCTTATATAAAATAGGTAGGACTTAACTAATAAGTTAATCCATCCCTAGAATGCCACCGTCCCATACCGGTGCATTAAACTACACAATCCAACAATTGATGTAACAATTAAGGAAATACATCAAACATTCCATAAATAACTATGATAAATATGATATCAAGTTATCACATAATAGGAATGACTTATTATTTCTTTAAACTTCCTATATCATATGTCCTACACAAACTGAATCTTATACATGATGATATTTTATTATACCGTTAAATAAGGATTCTCTATATCCAATTCATCCTACACATTTAATCTCAATTGCTAAAATATTTTAAAAGATTAAATCCATTCATTTGTTTAAAACATTCAAATAGCAAGCATCATTATGATTGAGTCTATTTAAATTTATTAAAACCCAAACCTAGTCCCTATTTAATGTTCGGGAATCCTAGGCATGTTTCTACGTTCCATCATTCCATAAATATGAAAAATACATAATTTAAACATGTAAAAATTCACATAAGAAATCAAATCAAAATCATGCATTTTATCAATTCATAACATTTCATAAAACCTATGTTCTAACCCAATTAAATATGCATAATTATTTAATTTAATGTGTTTAATAAATTCTGGAATTTCCTAGGCATGTACAGAAACACGAATCGAAGGGAAAGAGATAGAAGAAGAACTTGCCTTAAACTTTCGGATTGAAAGTTCCTCCTCCTTCCTTCCTCTTCCTCCTTCTCTCTCTAACTCTCTCTCTCTAGAATATATTACGTGATATATTTTCACTCCTTTTTCAACCTATAGTTGTGTATTTATAGGCTAAATAATAACCCTATTCCTTTTCCCAATCCAAGTCAACTTAATAAAGAAAAATAAAAAAATGAAAATATTAAAAAAGTAACTTAAAATATGTTACGTATATAATCTTTATATATCCTTATTAATTAAATAAAATATATACATTAGATTATTTATTAATACTAAAGTTACCATAATATTAAGAGGTAACTTAAAACATGTTACGTATATATTCTATCTATATCCTCATTAAATAAATAAAATATATACATCAGATTATTTATTTATACTAAAGTTACCATAATATTAAAAAGTAACTTAAAACATGTTACGTATATAATCTATCTATATCCTCATTAAATAAATAAAATATATACATCAGATTATTTATTTATACTAAAGTTACCATAATATTAAAAAGTAACTTAAAACATAACACGTATCAAACCTATGTATATTTCTATTATTTAAATATAAAACATATACATAAGATTAAATATTACTACCCAAGTTACCATAAAAGTAATTAATAAATTACTTTCCTTTTTATATATATTAAAAAGGTAAGTAAAATATGTTACGTATATAATTTATGTATATGTTTATTAAATAAATAAATTATACACAATTCATTATTTATTAATGGATTATCCAATAATACTTAAGTTACCATAATATTATAAAGTAACTTAAAATATAACACGTATCAAATCTATGTATATTTTTATTATTTAAATATAAAACATATACATCAGATTAAATATTACTACCCAAGTTACCATAAAAGTAATTAATAAATTACTGTCTTATATATATATATATATATATATATATATATATATATATATACATACACAACTATCCATGGGTAATAATTCACACACATCCAACCTCCTATCCAAGTAGTCCATGGGACCCAATTGGTTGACCCATTATTACTAACCATAACCATAAAAGAAAAATAAAATAAAATAATAAAAGAAAAGAAAACATTTAATTTACAATTAATTAAAACACCATTTAAGCACATAACCTAATTTAACAATTAACACATAGACAAATACAAATAATACATAGACACATATTCAAATAATCAAGAAATACCTAATTCAATTAAACACATAAGTAATTAGTCAAATAATCAATTAAATAATTAACAATACAATTAAAACAAATAAATAAATACCGAGACTATCCTTTTAAAATTAGGGTTATTACAAAAAATAATTAGTAAGAAGAAATGGACATAAGTGGAAGAAAGCCAGAAATAGTAAATTAATGTTGTATTTTAATTGATCACTGATTAATGCGTAAACTTATTTAGTTTAAAGTTGATACAAACATCTCCAGAGTCTCTTTAGATTTTCTGCTGGAGTGGAGGGTTTTATTGTGCACTTATTTGTGGGTTTTAATATTTGCTTGTGAGGAGAAGAAATCAAAGGATTTGTAGATTACATGAGTGGCCGAAAAAGGAATGTGATAAGATGGAACAGAGTGTTTCAGAGTACAATGTCTTACCATTCATTCATGGTTGTGAGTTTTGGAGTGTGATTTAATTTAATTATGTTTCAAAGGAAGAAAGTTAGGTTTTGTTTGGGTTGGTTGTGGGATCAAAATCCTCTTTGCCGCAACAGTATATGTGTCACAGCCGATGAGAAAAGTTTGGGATATATGTTAGGAAGAAAATGTTGGGACTGTAGACACTAAAATTTAGTGGGCTTTGGTTTTAACAAATGGACCCATTAAATATGGGCCTAACGTTTAATTAAGTTATTTAATTGGTCCAGGCTTGGTCCACTTAAATTATTTAATTAGCCCAACCAAGATGATTAAATGAAAAGATAATTACTCCTAATAAAATATATTTGGAATAATTAATTTTAAGGATAATTATCATAATATAACTGGCCCGGTCCAGTTACGATTTTTTTTCCTTATCCTGAGATGACACGTGTCATTATCCTATTAATCCAAGAAGCCTATAAATAAAGGCCTGGAGGAAGAAGAAAGGGGACACAAATTCATAGTCCAGAAATCCAGAGATTCAGAAGTCCAAAAGTCCAGAGACTCGCAAATCCAGAGACTCAGAAGTCAGAGACACAAATTCAGAATCCAAACCCAAAAGCGAAGAACAACAAGCACATCCAAGAACGTGCCGTTCTTCATCAAATCCCACGGTGATCAACAATAAGCACATCCAACGACATACTATTCTTCGTCAAATTCCACGGTGATTCAAGAACAAGCTCGTGCAGCCCTTAGATCCAACCAACAACAAAAAGGAGATTGAATCAGAGGACCATTGTTTTTGTAAAAGATATCACAAAGGATTGTACTCTAAATATTTCTGATTTAATAAATTTTTATTTTCCCCATATTTTGTCTTTATTTGCGAAGAACAAAATTTGTGTGTACAAATTTCTGACACGTCCTGTGGGACACCTTTGTCTTTTATCTCTTTCTCTTACCATCAAGTTTCTTCTCTGTCAAATTCTATGGCTCCCCTTAAGGCTTAGATAGACAAGAAAGCCCCAAAGAACATCGCTGCTGCAAAGGTCGACGCTAAAGCCACCATGAAAAGTGGCACGAAGGCCAAATCAAGTGATGGAAGTACCTTGGCGGGCCCTGTGACACGTAGCAAGTCCCAGGCAATCGCGTCATCTAAACATCAGCAAGACTTGGTGAAAACCACTCCTGTAAAGCTGGCAAACATGAAAACCCAACATGTCAAGAACCCTGACGTTGTTCTAGAGGAGATTCCGCCACCAGATTAACCTCATTCCATCCATGATGCTCGCTCTAGTGTCGGTTCACCCCCAGAGTCACCACGTTAGACTTCGGAGCATTCAATCACTTCAAGAAACGTTGACTCTCAATGCCTATCATACTCGGATGTGGTCGTTGCTATGATGACTGGTGCTGCCACGGTGGAGGAACAACTAGCAACTATTTCTCGTGCTATTGAGAATCTCACAAAGACTGTTGAAGAAAAGGACTTACAAATCGCTACGCTGATGAACAAATTAGAAGTTCAGACCTTCGGTGAATCACCAGTACAATCTGGGCATCCTACATCTTCCACAGCACCGCCAACTGGGAATCGTACAACTTTAACACCACCACTGTCTGGGAATCCTACATCTTCCACAGTAATGCCGACGGAGAATCCTAATTCTACCACACAAGGTACTCGCATGGTGGACCCTAAACAGACGCCGGTGACAGAACAGGCGGCTAGTGAAAACCAGACGCCGGTGACAGAACAGGTAGCTAGTTAAACCAATTATGCTTCTTCAGTCTCTTCATTATCTGTCGCACAATTGCAAGATATGATAACGAATACAATCCGAGCCTAATATGGAGGCGTCTCACAGAGCACTCTCATGTACTCAAAGCCCTATACAAGGAGAATCGACAGTATGAGGATGCATGTAGGATACCAACCTCCGAAGATTCAGCAATTTGACGGAAAAGGTAACCCCAAGCAATACATTACCCATTTTGTCGAGACTTGTAATAATGCCGGAACAGAGGAGGACTTACTAGTTAAACAGTTTGTCCGCTCCCTTAAAAGAAACGCGTTCGAGTGGTACACCAACCTAAAGTCAGAGTCAATTGATAGTTGGGACTAAATGGAACGAGAATTCTTGAATAGGTTCTATAGCACTCGTCGTACTGTTAGTATGATAGAGTTGACTAACATGAAGCAATGGAAGGATGAGCCTGTAATCAACTACATTAATCGGTGGAGAGCACTCAGTCTTGACTGTAAGTACCGATTGTCAGAAATCTCTGCTGTGGAGATGTGTATGCGGGGAATGTATTGGGGCCTTCTTTACATTCTGCAAGGCATAAAACCTCGCACATTTGAAGAATTGGCTATGCGTGCCCATGACATTGAGATCAGTATGAAATCCCATGAAGGCAAAAGTCCCGTGGCCACAGTACCAAGCAAGGATAAAAAAGACTGGAAGAAGGGCGATAAGTCGTCAAAGACCGCTGCTAAAGATTCCATGGCTATCTCAACCACCCCAATCAAGATATCTGTTACAGATGATAAGAAGGATAATAAAAAGCCTCACTAGTTTCAAGAGAGGGAAAGACACCGTCCTACGTTAAAGGAGTTAGAGAAGAAAGAATACCCTTTCCCCGATTCCGATGTCCCAGGCATCTTGGAATGTTTACTTGAAAGTAAAGTTATAGAACTCCCTGAATGCAAACGCCCTCAAGAGATGGGATGTGTCAACAATCCAAAATACTGCAAATATCATTGTATTATCAGTCATCCAATTAATAAGTGTTTTATCTTCAAGGAGGTGGTGATGAATCTGGCAAAACAAGGAAATATCTTGTTGGATACGGACGAAGTTGTAACTTCAAATCATACTACTGCTACTGTGACAACCTCTGTTATGGGGAGTGCTCATTCTTAACCTTCAACTTCTGAAGTATATTGCACAACCATCCAATTTGGCTCATTAGAACCAATCCCCATCTCTCTTGGCAAAGTGTAATACCCCTAATTTTAAAAGGATAGTTCTGGTATTTAATTTGTTGTTTAAACTTGCATTTGATTATTTTGGTTGATTTAATTGTGTTCGTTGTTTAATTTCGTTATTTAAATTGTTTTATTGTATTAATTTATTTGATTTATTTGTGATGTATGGTTTAAATTGCTTTATGGTTTAAATTATTTGGTGTTTTAATTTTAATTGTTTTGTTTTGTGTAATTAATTATTTTAACTATAAATGGTATGAAATTATTTAATTAAAGGTATTTGTATTCTAACTTCACATTACAGTAGGGTTGGTGGCATATATGGTGTACATAGTTTCTAGCTGACGTGGGAATTTAACCTATATTATGTATGGGCCGAGTAAATCAATGTAGGCTTTAAGAGAGGGCCTGGGATTAGGATAGTCTATAAATATACAAGTGTATGTTGTTTAGGGTTTTGAGGAACCTTGTTTACGGTTGTGGAGACAGAGAGAAACTGGAAGAGCAACTGCATAGTTTACCGGAGAATTTTAGAGCAACGTCGGTGTAAAGCAAGTTTTATATCTAACTCAATCCCTTAGGTTTCATGTTCTTTGCATCACTAATTCAATTCCAGGAAGTAATAATGTTAAATTAATATGGTTGCACTATTAGTTGTTTCAAAACAGTATATGTCCATGCCTGTGTTTTTCTTTCGTCCGTGAACGGTTGTTGCTTGTTCTTGTTTTGGATGAATTTTGATTAACAAAGAATGAATTTTAATAACTTTAGAGCACCTTGGGACTTAATTTTAACCAGTAGAGAAGTTGGTTTGGAGGAAGTAAGTAGTCTATTACTGCCGGAGTGGAAGGAGACGATGAACAGAGGAAGAACTGAGACGCCGAAAAATAGAGCAGGCTCCACCTTGAGTGGAGCTGGCTCTAGGATTAAGTGGAGGCGGCTCCACCATCATTGGAGGCAGCTCCACTTTGTGTGGAGCCGGCTCCTCCCAGTTTTTCATTTTTATGTTATTTTATTTTGTTTTCTGCAATCCTAGGCTACTGTACATGGGTATTTGAAATTTCTAGAATGTTTTGGAAGTGGTTCTAGGGGAAATTAGTGATGTTTAAACTCTTGGTAAACTTGCTGGAAGCATGGAAATTCATAATTTATCATAAGAGGCTAAACAGGGATACAGTCTGAAACTTATTAGGGAAGTTTTCAGGATTATTTTAAATGGGGATGATCAGAATTTCTTAGCTTTGAATTAGCAGTTTTAACTTGGAATCTTTATGTTTTAAATCATGTAACAATGATCTGAGATTAAGCATATCAATTAATATAAATTCGGTTAATGCTTATGGTTAAATTAGTTGATATTTTTCAAAGAATTATTTAGATCAACTTATGGGATGCTGCGGAATGGTTATTAGTAAGCATGTTAATTCTGTTCTAATTATTACTATGCTTATTGTGGATTACAGAATGGTTACATTTATTCTCGGATATTTATATTTTTTTTGAGAATTAAGTACTGGATGTATTGAAACAAGCATGCTAATTATAGATTCTTGTTATGGCCTATATTTGGATAGGTTGATATTTATATGTGTTAATGTCAATGATATTATCAATAATTGGATGGATGGTGTATACTTGTTATGGATTGGTTGATTAGTTGATATTGAAACGGTTACTGTCTTACACATTATCAACACTAGATGGATGGATTGTATGCACCAGTAGGGGACGGTGTCATACTAGGGGGATTAGCTCAAAAATGCTAAGTCCTACCTATTCTGGATTAAGGAATGGATTAACTAAAAGTTAATCCTATTTTATTTGTAGTGTCAAGGCAACATATAGTTTAATTATATATTTTATGGTGCCACGATGTGAACCTGAGTCTCAGAGTCGTTGGTTAGGGAGCGTATATGCATGGGGATGCATAGCTGGCTATGATGGTTGGAGGTGTACCCTGTTTAGGTTAGGTAAACATGCCCACTTTGTGTGTATTTTAGCATGTTACCTCTACTCAAGTTGAGACCGGCCTGTAGGCCAGTGAGAGTCCTTTAGTGTGATTATATATATCTGCGGACTATTTAGTTATTGTTGGACTGGTTAGGATGTACATGCGTATCGGGCCTCTGTTGTGTGTATATATATATATATATATATATATATATATATATATATCTGCGGACTATTTAGTTATTGTTGGATTGGTTAGGATGTACATGCGTATCGGGCCTCTGTTTGGGTTGTAGTAGTATAGAACTTGCGCGTGGGCCTGACCCACTTCTATTTTTCAGGTACATGACAGTTCCAGACTTAGACGTGTTCGTGCTGAGCAGAGGTTTCTATTCACTCTACCGACGATGTAGGAGTTCTCTTTGTAGCATACTTCTGGATGTCTTATCAGTTTTTACTGTTTTGAATTTTTATTAGGAGTCCACTAGAGATGGATTCCCGAGTTGTACCCTTGGAGGTTTTGGAGTTGGATTATTTAATCTTTGTTATTTAAGGATTTTATTTTAGGTTTCTTTTAGCTTAAACTTTATTTATTAAATTCATTTTGTCATCTGTGTTCGTTTTAACATATTGATTGTTTGATATCCCTCGGGTTTGGGCCTAGGCCTGATCAACCCGTGTCTCGGATCCGAGGGGTATCACAGTTGGTATCAGAGCACTCCAGGTTCAAGTGTCTCTAGGATGTTTTCGTATGAAGTCTTTTACATAGCATTTACTCTTGATTAGAGCTTAAGTTAGGATTCATTGTATTCCTTACAGTTCGTACAGAAATGGTACTAATGTCTGTTTTTCCATGTTAACAGATGGTTAACGCTAGAAACAGACAGAACATGCAAGGAACTAGGAAGGAAAGGAGAGCGGTACGTAGGCAACAATATCTCCTACGGCGTCAGCAAATGGAGGAAGAGCAGCAAAGGCTTGGGATTCAAGATGACATGGGTCAGTTTCAGGAAGAACAGGAGAATGTTCAGTAGACTCTGGACCAGGTCAGAGATCCAGAGATTCCTCCTCACCTCAATGACCTCGTTGCTTGGGCTATAGAAGCTGGGGTAACAGCTGCACTTCAGAATCAGCCTCAGGTACAACCGGCACCCCTACCTGCACCGGTTGTTCAGACGGATTCTTGGGAAAAGGCTAGAAGCTCTTTCACAAAATGGAGTCCACCTGAGTTCACAGGCTCCACCGATGCGAGAGCAGTTCACCAGTGGAAATAAGACATCGAGCGACATCTTCGCTTGGTTCAGTGTACGGAGGTTCAGAAGCAGATGCTTGCTACATTCAAGCTAGTTGGGGATGCACTATAGTGGTGGGAGTCAATTACCACCGCAGAAGAGAGGATGGCATTGACTTACGATTAGTTCAGTGCACGTTTTGATGAAAAGTATTTTCCTTATGCAGTCAGGGCAGCCATGAAGACTGAATTCCTCAATCTGCAACAGGGAAACATGACAGTGGCAGAGTATGAGCAGTAGTTCACACGTTTATCTCTCTTTGCACCGGAGGAGGTGGATACAGAAGAGAAGAAGCGCAATAGTTTCGTCAAGGGACTGATGTGGTCTATCAAAAGAGCTATTACAAGTAGTCCAGCTTATACTACATATGCTCAGGTGGTAGACACCGCTCTACAGCAGTATCAGTTGACCGTGGACATCAGACAGGCCAAGGGTGAGAAGCGGGGTTACAGACTCTGCTAACCAATCAGCTGAGAAAGGGAATGGGAACAGACACCGACAGAACGACAATGGCAGATTCCAGGGACAGCAGCCTTAAAAGAAGCACAAGGGTGGTTCAGATGCTTCCAAGAATGTGGCACCTATTCAGCGTCAACAGAATGGGGGACCGCAAGCAGGACAGGGTCAGCCACAGGCTAACGACAGAGGAGACCATTTGTTACTTTCCAGGGTAGTTGTTACACTTGTGGAGAGTATGGTCACACTTCCAGGCAGTGTCCTACAGTTAGACAGGGATAGGGACAGAGACAGGGACAGGGACAGCAGGTGCAGCAAGGGCAGAGGGCGTCAGTGCCTCTACCAGCTCCACAGGTTCCATGGATTAAGGGATAGACTTATCCGGCTTTACTGGCACCGTCGCAGCCTCAGGGACAGGCACCACAGTAGTTACATTATGGCAGGGTGTACAACCCTAAGCTACAGGATATGCAGGTACCTCAGGCTATTGAGGGTAAGTTTCCTATACATGATTTTTATGGACGTGTTTTATTTTATACGGGTGTTACACACTCATCTGTAGCTAGGACTTTTGTTATTTTATCTGGGATGAGGACGAGGGTATGCACTAAACCTCAGGGTATTTCTATACCATTGGGCGATACAGCTATTAAATATGAGAGTGATGGGCCTGTGACACTAGATGTTGGTAGACTCAGATTTCTAGCCAACCTATTGGTCCTGGACATGCACACTTATGATGTGATACTTGGGATGGATTGGTTGTCCCACTACCATGCTCAAGTTAATTGCTTTGATAGGTCTATTGTGTTTACCATACCTGGTCAGGACATGTATGTTGTCGCTATGCCGCTTTCTAGCGCAGTCACTAGCACCTATTTGTTCTATA